TTACTATTCGAAGCCAGAAAGTGTTATTTCTGGTTACAAAAAAACGACTGCGCAGCTGAATCGGTTTCCGTTTATTGGATTTGGAATAAGATTATCTTTCGAACAGAATATTTCTGTTAGGTGAGTCCTGATTGAACATAAATATCTATATAATGTTTATTCTTATATATTATACTGAAAAGGTATGCTTTATGGTTTCTAATAACCGCACTATTGTGGTTATACGATTTCGTATTTTAAAACTGTGGACGTTTTGAGAAGGTTCATAGTTTTAAAAAAATGCGTTCCTATTAGGCTAGAACCCTGCTTAAGGACTCGTTTTAGAAAGATACTATACTTTTTTTATCGATATCATAACTAACCGATTGGTTAGTTGGCTTTCATAGTAGCGGTGAATGTTTTAAACCGCAGCAATCAGAGATGCACCTTTAAAACCTATAAATGATCTATATGGTCCAGATTCTTTACAGACCAAATTTCTGAGTGATTTTACTGCTTTAGCATATCTTATTTGGATAAAGACATGATAAAACACCTATGTAATCCAATACCTTTATCAAAACCGAACCGATGGTCTTTTGATCCAAAAGTCATCAACCACAAACACAACTATTCCAAATAAACAAGACAATTGGTGCTATAAATACTGCCTAACGTGAACAGCATCGGAACTTCAACAATAATCGTTGAGTCGTTACTGTTGTGAGCAAAACTAGTCTGATTATTGTTGGCAGTCGCTTTGCTTTTATTCTTATACAACTTCTTGACGAATTTGGACGGACGGTGTGCCGAAGCTGCGGCTAGATGGCGCTGGCGGTCGTGGTCGTACGGCAAGAGGAACTCCGGCTTCTTCTTGTAGCTTAACTCGAACCAGTTCAGTAGCTCAGGGCGTCATAAGTCTGGAAATCTAACAAAAGCAAACATAAGCATGTTTTAAATATCTGATCTCTAGTGAAATTAGGACTAAATACATACGAAATACTTCTAATTTTTCAGTAAATAGGAAGAATGCTATATACAGCCCAGTGGACAGAAAACAATTTATTAAATTGTTTAGTTCTTCGCCATCAAAGCAGGTGGCACCTCTGTGCGCTAACCACCAACGTGGAAAGTATTTTGGAGACATTAGTTGAACCGTAAAATTTTAATGCGTCGAACAACATTTTTGAATTTCCTAATTATAGAAAATATTTTATAACGTAATGAAAACTATTGATTAAACAGAATAATAATAAATTTAAACAAACGCATAGAATATGTACTGTTAATAAAAAAAATGTGAAAGTTTATCACTGAGTTACATCCCCTTTATTTTTAATGACATTTACAATTCTTCGAGGGATTGTTTTTACCAAGTTCTAAGAAAATTCTAATGTAAACGTATCCCATATTTTTTGCAATGTTTTCTTCAATTCGTTGACGGACCTGGCATGTCTTCTCAAAGCTTTTTTCATTTCGCACCACAAAGTTTCTATCGGGGACAAATCGGGACTGTTAGAAACCCATTCCAGAAGTGGTATGCCATGGTCTTCAATCCATTTTAAACTTTTTTTTGAGGTATGACAACCTACGCCGTCCTGTTAAAAGACAAAATCTTCCGCTGATGTTAAACGGTGTTCCATAATCGGTAAAAGAGATTCTTCTAAAATATTCAAATATTTGTCCGTGTTTACAATCCCATCGATAAAATGTAACTTTTCCACACCTTTATAGTCCAGGCTGTGAGGCCGCTCCCGTTGGGGAAATGTTTCTGATTCAGTTTCTTCGCGGATTCCGGTTCAAAAATGTCCCCTTTAAACAAATCTGAAGGGTGCCGGGCGAAATTTTTGGGCAGAAATTGTTTAAACAATTTTTTTAAACTAAGTCCAAAAATAATTTTTTTAATCTGGCAAACGTTTTTTTAGGTTTTTTGGGCCATTCTAAACAAAAAAAGTCTCTTGTCATTTTTCTCTAAAGGTAATAGTTTTCGAGTTATAAGCGATTTAAAGTCTGAAAAACGCGAAAATACGCATTTTTGAGGCTTGAAAACACATATGTAAATTATTATTTTTGAGGTTACCAAGTGTCTAAATTAAAGTTTAAACATTCAACTTCAAGATTGTGAAGAGTAACCGCGCGCTACCGTGCGCCTCTATCGTACTTATGCATAGTTTACATATACTTACAAATAATTATTATTTATTGAGTATATATTTATTTATATCAATTGAGTTATAATATAAATTTCGTCTAAAGTCTAATAATAGTTACATAAAATAATTGTACAAAAGATTGTTAAATAAGACACTAATATCACTTACTCAGTAAAAGTATCTTTGTTTTCACAAAAATCTAAATCACATCCACATAATGGTACACAGTTGACATGATTTTTCTTGCAGTTGCAAGCATTAGTTTTGCAAGTCTTTTTGCATTTGCACGGTTTCCCAACCCACCACTATCAGACATATAATATCCATATTGTGTAAAATCGAGAGTTTGATACCGGGAATATATGGCATTTCGCCAAATATATGTTTTAGCGAAAGCTCTTAACAAGTGTTGGTAAAGTGCGTCAGAGGTACAAGGTATATTGGCTAGATTAAATTAAATTTTTCAGTCACACTGTCTTTTCGTCGAAGAGCAGCATTTTGTATTGTTATGTAAAAATCTACTTTAGGTTTTTGCACTAACTTAATATTGTTGATGTTATTACAAAAAATACAAACTAAATTTTCTTCGGTAAGTTTTCATTTAAGAAGAGGTACGGAAAAAGACATTTTAAATCCATTCACAATTTTTTAATAACACATTAATAATATAATACCCTTTTAATTGGCATTAAACAATAGTCTTCCTAATGATCGTTTAAGTAATAACAAATCAAGTATGAGCGCGCGATTGTTAAACAGGTAAGGTAAAAACTTGCATTTTTGCGATAGTATACTTCATCTAATTTAGATAACGACTTACGTCATTATCTACGTCAAAGATCGAAGTTGACATAGTTGCCAAAGTATAAAAAAATCCTGACTATATTTTAAATCAAATAGATTACATAATTATTGCAAAAGTATTACCATCTCTTTACAACGACTATTTAAATTCTTACGTGACATTTTTTAAATAAAACACACTAATTTTGTTCTAAAAAGAACAGATTTTATTAAATAGTTAAAAATATAAAACAAGAGATATTCACTTTAAAATTCAAAATATTGAAGTACAAAAATTGTCAACACCGCAACTGTCAAATAAGTGTTACCAATTTATGCCAAAATTTTAGCTTTGTTCGATTACAGTTACAGTGTGTTCCGAACTAATGTTCTTGATAAAAACGTTTTATAATGCATTTATATAAATTAAATGAAACATATTATTGTGTATTTCTTTAAGTTAACATTAATAGAAATTTTTAAATATTATTTCTACGCGTATATAATAAAATATGTCTAGTGTCTGTAATGCCAGTGTACTCGGTAAAGTGATTCTAAAAAAGAACACACCTACACCCTAAATATTTTGTGTTGGTATCATGTAACGTCACAGGCTATGACGCCGATGACGTGCATCGTTATATAAATTAGATGAAGTGTATATTGTTTTTAAACACCGCGCGATTTAAAAATATTATTTACAATTGATATAAATAAATATATACTCAATAAATAATAATTATATTGTTCAAATTTGGAAGAAAAAAAAACTATATACGGTTATTACATTGCGATGATTGATTTATTTAATTAGCCCAATGACAATAATTAATACCTACATAAATAAATTATGGAAAAAACTATGTTAATAAACTTCAAGGATTTGTTCGGGTTTTTTTTGCGTAAGTGTATATGTAAACTATGCATAAGTACGATAAAAGCGCACTCTAGCGCGCCGCGCCGCGGCGGCTGAAAAATCGAGTGTACGCGCATATTTAACAATTAAAAAACAACGGTCTAAATTAAAATAAGCCCCGATTACTCTTCACAATCTTGAAGTTGAATGTTTAAACTTCAATTTAGACACTTGGTAACCTCAAAAATAATAATTTACATATGTGTTTTCAAGCCTCAAAAATGCGTATTTTCGCGTTTTTCAGACTTTAAATCGCTTATAACTCGAAAACTATCAACTTTAGAGAAAAATGACAACAGACCTTTTTTGTTTAAAATGACCCAAAAAACCTAAAAAAACGTTTTCCAGATTAAAAAAAAAACTTTGGAATTTGTTTAAAAAAAATTGTTTAAACAATTTGTGCCCAAAAATTTCGCTCGGCACCCTTCAGATTTGTTTAAAGGGGACATTTTTGAACCGGAATCCGCGAAGAAACCGAATCAGAAACATTTTCCCAACGGAAGCGGCCTCACAGCCTGGACTATTAGACAACATGCTGCCCCAAATCATGACAGATACAGGAAATTTGTTGTTGTTTCTCTCAAAGCAACAGCATATGTCGTTCTGATGAGACCTAAAGAGGTTGAAATACGTATAAGCGGCTTGCGGTTGCTTGCATCGAAATAAAAATCTAATACCGTCATTATGTTTAGTTCTTTACTCTGTTTGGAGTACCAGAAACTGAATTCACTACGAATTTTGACCATGATGAACGGCATGTGGAATGCATATTGTTGATTCCCTTGCCGACTAATTCATCAATGTGTCTGCTTTGCAATTTATAGAAAGCACGGTGATAGAGATTTGAATTTAGTTTCGGCAAGTAGGAAATCTTAGGATTCCTAGTGTTTTTAAAGACAATAGTTATTCACAAAGCAAAGAAAACCAGTTTCCCTAAAACGAAACAAACAGGGAAGTTGACATATTGCTTGTGAATAGTAACATAGTAACAAAGGGATAACCTGCAGTTCAAGTTAGAGTAAAAGTGTTTATTCAAATAAGGGTATAAGTGTTTGAGAACTCTAAAATAAAATGCAGATAAAATTTATAATAGTATCTATTTAAAAATATAAAAAAAAATAAAATTCTCAGTAATATCACCCAATTAATCGATATGTTAGATATATTCTTTACCTTGTTGGATCTTCAACATAGTTCTTTGGTATCATAAACAGATGCTTGGGAATGTCATCTCTGAATTCGAAATGCTGGAATGTGATTTTGGCCGTCACGGTAGGCAAAATCGGTATTTCAACTTTCACTGGAAACCCGTTAGGCAGCTTGAACGTTATGAAATCCCTCAATTTAGAAAAATGTTTGAATGGTGCTATTACTTCCAAGACGTTCAAGAGCATTTCCACAGACAGAGGAAAATCTGCACTCTGAAAAACAATAAAAAATGGTTATACAGTATTAAAAGAAGTTAAGTGGTCGGTATCAACACAAAATAATCTAAATTCAAGTTAAATCAAAGTAATTTATTAATATTTGCTGTAATATCATAACCCATTAGACGTCCCTCTCCTACTTTTCTATTTTTGACATTATTAATTTAGCTCAATGATATGCAAGCTTTAAAAATTAAGAGGAGAGGAGCAGAACCCTAAGATAGACTGTAGGCTAGTGTGAAGATGCTGAGAACTCAGTAGACTGGCGGAACTTAACATAAATTTGTCAGAAGAGGATCAACTGCAAAATATTTCTATTCAGAGTACCAACAAGCATCATATGCGACCGGAAAAAAGGCTTGATCAAAAGGCAACATAATTCACACTAGGTTAATAAGGCTGAAATACTGCGGAAACAACCAGGAATCAGCTTTAAGTGAGGTTGGGGCTATTTCATGGAGATTTAAGCTGCTGCCTCTGTAGCACTTACCACGCTGCTTCCCTTAAAAATCTCCTTAGATACGTCTATGGCCCAAATTAAAATGTAAGAGGTCGCTGAAATAAAAATATCACTTTTTATTTCAAAAAAAAAAAAATTTGTTTAAAATCCTTTATAAAAGGTATATAAAAATGCCCCAAACGGGCTATCACAAACACATTGCAAAACGTTTTCGGATTAAACAATCCATCATCAGTGCAAAAGGTTGTACATGCTAGTAGCCACCAAAATATATGGGTAAAAACCCTTTAAATGTTTTAAATTTGTAGTTGTTTTACATTATTAGTATTTATAATTTGTGATGTTTTAGTTACCGTTGGTTTTAGTACGTTACATTATAAATACTAATAATGTAAAACAACTACAAATTTAAAACATTTAAAGGGTTTTTACCCATATATTTTGGTGGCTACTAGCATGTACAACCGTTTGCACTGATGATGGATTGTTTAATCCGAAAACGTTTTGCAATGTGTTTGTGATAGCCCGTTTGGGGCATTTTTATATACCTTTTATAAAGGATTTTAAACAAAATTTTTTTGTGATATATGGTATACAGCCAGCTACAGGAACTTAGTTTCCTCGTGGAACTTTTTATTTCAGTTTCTACTAACCAGTATATTATAATAATACAAGGTAAATAGTATTTTTTTTAAGTAATTCTAGATTATTGTATTACGTATACCTGTTTCTTGTTTTTCCTCATTTCTAAATTTTCAAGCTAGTCTTGAGTGGCGCCCATATTCAGTATCTTAGGCAACTTCGTATATTTACTTATAGTGCCTTCAATACAAGTTTAAATTATAAGTTGTTCTATCTAATTTCATTGTTTGTGTTACAAGGTCTCATTTTCTCCCTTGTTTACATAATTTGATCATCCTATATATTTGTCTTTTATCCCAAAGCCTTTAAGTGTAGAAAAGCTAGCCCGAATTCTCCCTTGAGGTTTGATGTCTTTCTGGTCCTTTAAATCGATTCCTCTGAGATAAGCTATTCTTTATTATTACATTCAGTAACTTCACTCCAAATTCTCCTTCTTGTAAATTCTTATTCCTAAATTACAATACCCCAGAGTATTGGGATTTCAACGCGACAAACACTTTTAGGAGACTCCAAAAATATACGGTACCCAACCACTAGACCTGTACAAGCTGGTGCAGGATTTCAAAATTCTGAAAAGCATATGATGAATATATAGTTGATCTACAATAAACCAATTAGCTCCAGTACGATCGGTGATTAGCAACATCAGATAATCATCTAAATTCTTAGCTACCGAATGGTTTCAGAAACGCAGAAAACTTCATTCCTCCCAGTCCTATTGAGTCCCGTGCCAACGCTAAATCAGCACAGTTAGTCATAACAAGAACATCTGCATTAGTAGTACCCATTAGCAATTATTTCTAATAGATATCGAACGTCATTTCATGTGTACCCATTCAACAGTGACAAGTACCCCTAAACAGCCAAATCACACGAGAAAACCCTTGACAGTCCATTATATGCAAAACTGGCCACAAACTATCACAACTAATAATTAACAGACAATAACACAAGTTAACAGCTACGTTTATTTGCTCACCAATATAAATGATCAGTGGGATAGTTAGTAAAAGTTTTTCAATCATATTGAATCGTTCAAACTTATATTGGCGACGTGCAAGTACTTTGTGGATTTATATCATAAAAAAGCATAAGTAACATAACCTAATTATGCATTATTCTTGCGCCCGATTTTAAAGTCAGTTTGAAATAAATAATAAATAAAAGTTCACTTTTAAGTGTAAATTTTAGTTTCATAACACTCACTTAGAGTTCATTTTAACTCAAAAATCAAGTTTAATGTTTGAATTTTATTTTTTTGAAGTTTACAAAAATGCAAGTTCAAGTTTTTCTGAAGATTCATTAAGATATATTCGCTGTCCAAAAGTTTACAAGGAAAGAATTAATTGTTCAAACCAATATGATGATATCATGGGCTTAACCTGCTAATTTATGCATTAGCTTTATTTATGGTAATTTATTTTTCTTAATTCTTCCACTCCACATAATTCTTCCATTCTTTTTTGACATTTGCCACTACTAAAGCTTTTCCCTTTGACTCGTGCTTGGTTGAAAAGTTATTTGGTGATTTACTTTCTCAAATCCAGTTTTTATTATTGCATCCATATTAACAGTAATGCTGTAATTCAATAATATATTTATTTGTATTTACGCTACATAAACGTTTATCTTTTAATAACATACCGACATAACCTCAATCTTACTTTTTCTTCTTATTCTTTTTTGGGGCCACGTCCTTGACAGTTATCCGGTAACCTCGATCTAACATGAAAGCGCTGTAAATTTGGCTGATTTACGACACCAGGTGTCGCTGTTCCGAACTTTCACGGTCCCAATCACGATACACTTATACCGGTATGCCGACGCGCATCTTCAGTGACGTCACATCGATGCAAATCCTAAATCCTACCACATCCTACGTTATTTAATGTTGGTTAGGTTAAGTGGTTTTATTTTTAATTTATCAAATTGTGGATTTACTAATTTACAATTTTTAAATCAAATACAGTTGTAAATGAAACGGCGATATTGAGATACAAAAATACTTTTGAAAGAATTTATAAAAATGAAATTAAAAAAAATTCAATGTTATTGGAATTTAAGAATATTTATTTCAATATAGAAAGCACTTTAACAGAATAATGTTTTAATCACGATACACTTATACCGGTATGCTATGTTTGGAATAAAAACGTGTCTTTGACGCGCAGTTACGTCACGTCGATGCATCGAGCTGTTGTGAGATAGTGTGAGATAGTATTTTCAGTGTTTTGAAATCTGTTTCGTGATTTTTAATAAGTCGTTGTTTGTTGTATGTTTGGATATATATATATATATATATATATATATATATATATTATATATATATATATATATATATATATATATATATATATATATATATATATATATATATATATCTAACAGAGTAGATATCGAGAAGAAGGAAGAAAAAGTAAGAGGACCTCATAAAAATTGTCAAGTGGTAATGGTACGAAGTCTTATTGGACAATGGAAGCAACCTGTATTTTATAATTTTGATCAACCCATGACAAAATATATATTAAAGTCCATAATTGAGAAACTTTATTCTGTTGGATTTATAGTAGTTTCTGTAGTCAGTGATATGGGTACAGGAAATGCGGTACTTTGGTCAAAAATGAATATAGGTCACGATAAAAATCCATATTTCTATCACCCAAGCACTGATAATTTGAAGATTTTTGTGTTTGCTGATGTGCCGCATTTTATAAAACTTTTGCGAAATCACCCACTAGATCACGGTTTTTGGATTAACAATACTTTAATTGGCAAAACATGTTTTGAACAATTGCTTAACATATCTACAGCAGAGTTGAGTTTAGCATATAAACTTACAAAATTTCCTTTTGATCTAAAAGGTGCTCAGAGACAAAAGGTTAGACCTGCTTTTCAATTTTTTTCTAATACTGTATCAAAGGCAATAAAGTATTGTGGACAAAATGATTTTATGCCACCGAAAGTACCTTGGAAAGAAGCTTCTGATTTTGCACTTTTAATAAATAATTGGTTTGACTTGTTAAATTCGAAATCAAAATTTGTAGAAAATAATCCAACAAAAAAATCATTTGGTATAGACATAGAAAATCAGAAAAAATTATTACAGCAAGTGTCAGACATCATTAGCACCATGCGTGTGGGAAATAGAAAGTCTTTAATTCCATTTCAAAAAGGTATTCTTTTAACAAACAGGTCAATGGCAGAATTATTTGATTATCTACATAAAAATTATAATATAGAGTATATTTTAACATCAAGATTAAACCAAGATATTCTTGAAAATTTTTTTTCTTATATAAGGGGCATGGGAGCTACTAATGATCATCCCCATGCTCTAGAATTTAAATATCTCCTTAGATGGTTCATATTAGGTAAGAATTCAGCTGCTGTTTTTACTGAAAATAGAAATACAGAAGAACATTGTGAACATTGTTTATTGACTCCATTTGAATCTAGTCATGACCAATTACAAATTGTAGATGAAAATAACTGTTTGACAGGAAAAATGTTCAAGAATGTATCAATACTTACACCTACTGAGTCTAATTTTTTTGACGAAGAAATTAGCACTTCATACTCTTTCATCGAGCCTCTCTACCCCGAAATAAATGTATTAGAAACCAGGTCCAACATCGAAAATTTACAGTTGCTATATCAGTTTGAATGCAAAGAAACTGTTAACAAAGAAGCTCTAAAATATATTGCAGGATATGTTGCTTATAAGTTTAAAAATAAATATAAATACTTAGGCTCTATCTGCGAGTTGGTCACAACAAACAAGTCCAATGAATGGTTAACTTGTATTTCAAGAGGTGGCCTTTTAAATCCGAGTGATGATTTAATGAAAACTGCAGAAGTACTGGAAACAGAGATCAATTTAATGCATGGAACGTCATTTTCTAAAGAGAAAAAAATATTTTCATTGATAGCTGACCGTACTGTTGTCAAGCTTGGTAATGAAGTAAATATACCTTATGAAGTTATTTATTGCCTAGTCGTACCAGAAGCTACATAAGATTGCGAGAAATTGTGCTTTCTATATTGAAATAAATATTCTTAAATTCCAATAACATTGAATTTTTTTTTAATTTCATTTTTATAAATTCTTTCAAAAGTATTTTTGTATCTCAATATCGCCGTTTCATTTACAACTGTATTTGATTTAAAAATTGTAAATTAGTAAATCCACAATGGGATAAATTAAAAATGCCTAACCAACATTAAATAACGTAGGATGTGGTAGGATTTAGTATTTGCATCGATGTGACGTCACTGAAGATGCGCGTCGGCATACCGGTATAAGTGTATCGTGGTCCCAATACTGCATCAATATGACTCAGAGCTCTTGTCAAAGTCCATTAACTCTATGAGCAATTATAACATATCTTCAAGTACGTAAAAACTGTAGAGCAGTTGTAAATTGCTCGTATATTAATTAGATATTCTATATTTCTATTTACTTTTAATTTTGTAAGAGGGCAAAGTGCAAAGTTCTCGACATATAATAAATAGGTACCAAATCTATCCAAATTTGTGACTAAAAATCATTTTGGATTAAATAAAAATAATATCAGCGACAAAAGGATATTTTAAAGATCTTCCATTTCATAAAAAACTCGATTATAATGTTTTAGTACAACACCGAAAACTTTTTGCCTTACCCTCGTATACAACAGAATATTTACCATTGCTATCGTCGCCTTAAACGCTTTTGTGGATTCTTTGTACACCAGATCTCGTCCTAGCCTAGGATAATTATTTACATCGGCCTGAACGTACTCTGGCCAGGTTACTTTCTTATCCGGTGGGGGAATCAAACTATTTCTTCGAACGGGCTAAAAGAGGAAACAGGTACATTATAACAAAACTGACACAAAAATACAACATTAAATAAATCATTAAATAAAGCAATTGAAATTACCCGAAATATTAATCCGTTCCAGTCCCCAAAAAACACGTTAGTTGTTTTTATTAAGTGTTTTTAAATAGGAAAAATGTATTTAAAAGAAGAAACATTTATTTAAAAGTAACAAAAAATACATACATATTCTGTAAACACATAAAAAAATGAAGTGCTTAAGAAAGCGCTTAATTTTTGTCAGTGGTTTTCGCTTTTTTCGTCACACTTTATTCATTTTCATCTGCAGATCGTTTAAAATAACTGTCCAAGGAGTTTTGTTTCTTCCTCCCTTTCAGAATATTGCGAAAATGTGTTACAACCACAAACAGATACAATCTCATCTACCACTGATACTTCGGGTTCCAGTCCTTTGCAGGCTCTTTCATCTACAGACTCAAGCCACAGCTTTTTCCATGCAGAGGTTAAGGTCCTTGTTGTCACAAATAGCTATGCCTGTTCAATAATTCTTAGGCATATTACTATGTTAAAGTGGTCCTTCCAGAACTCTCGAAGGGGAAGGTTTGTGTTCTCCGTCACCTCAAAGCAGTGCCGAAAAATGTGCTTGGTATACAACTTCTTCAAATTAGAAATTACTTGCTGATCCATGGGCTGCAAGATTGGAGTGATGTTGGCTGGTAGGTAGAGAATCTTTATAAACTTGAACTCTTGCAGTAAATCATTCAAAATTTGGTGTATGAGATGGGGCATTATCGAGGACAAGAAGCATGGGAAGTTGTTTTACTGTAGATATTTTTTAACAGAAGTGGCAAACACCAAGTTTATCCACTTGACAAAGAATTTTCTGGTGACCCACGCCTTTGGATTTGCCCTCCACATAACTGGCAGTTTTTCTTTTAAAATCTCTTGTCACTGAAAGGCTCTGGAATTTTCTGAACGGTTCAATAGAAGAGGTTTGATTTTACAGTCGCCACTTGCATTGGCGCAAAGTAGTAGAGTTAATCTATCTTTTATAGGTTTGTAACCTGGCATCGTCTTCTCCTCTGCCGTTATGTAAGTCCTATTCGGCATCTTTTTCCAGAAAAGCCCTGTATCGTCACAGTTGAAGACTTGCTGGGAGATGTATCCTTTGCCTTCTATCAGTTCTAATATAGGACTGCCGCAGGGAAGTATTTTAAGTCCACTTTTATATATTTTATATAATATAGATTTAGAAGTCATTGTTCCTATTAACACCAAAATACTACAATATGCAGATGATGTGGTACTCTACTCATCAGACAAATCAATTGATGTTACTAAAAATAATTTAACAACAGCTATTTCATCAATACATGCATTTTATGAATCAAATGGATTAACATTATCAGAATCCAAAACAGAAATCTGCTTCTTTTCTAGAAAACATAGAACTCCAGAAGGGTATATAAATTGTGGTCAATTCAAATTTCCAATTAAAAATTGTGTCAGATACCTGGGAACTTATTTAGACAGAAAACTTTTGTGGAAAGATCATATTCAACATATCATTAAAAAAACCGAAAAAGCTATGAATATCCTAAGAGCTTTCTGTAAAACAAACTGGGGTGCAGATCCCATCATTAGTTTAATGTTTTATCGATCTATGATACGACCAGTTTTCGATTATAGCTGTCACTTGTATGGAAATGCATCGAACACTCATTTAACAAAAATTGAGATGCAGAAAAATAAGTGCCTACGCTTGTGCCTTGGGTATCTGAAATCTACACCAATTAATGTAATGGAAATTGAAGCTGTTGAACCGCCATTGAATTTACGGAGGCAGTATCTTACCGAAAAATATATAGCTCGTACCATTAGCAGAGACCAAGTATTTCTCAAAGATATACACAATCTGGCTGTTTTAGATTTGACTAAAAGGTATTGGTTTAAGAAAAAATCTCCACTCGTGGCGGAAAGCTACAGAAATCTTTCTAAATTTAAAGAGGTACTTTATAAGGGTCACATTCCACCAGTTTATACTGAAAAGCCTCATGTACTGTTCTCAATAAAAATCAAGACAGAATTTCTCAATGATGTCCAAGGCCCCATGTTTAACGCAGAAATTCAGAAGAGATGGCCTAATTATTATTATATGTTTACCGATGGTTCAAAAAAGGGAAATAACACTGCTTGCGCAGTATATCAACAGTATTCTGGACAACATCATAAATATAAATTACCTGATGAAGCCTCCATCTACACATCCGAAATGCTGGATTTAAAGTTTGCTCTTTCTCGCGTTTTGACAAAGGAAATGAAGAACTGTGTAATATTTACAGACAATAAAAGTGCAGTAGAAAGATTATGTGAAACAAATAAATCCAAGCAATTGACTCATCTTGATATAGAGATATTAAAATTGTACTACGAGGTTTCAAAGCTCGGAGGAGAAGTTATTATCGCATGGATCAAAGGCCATTCTGGGATAAAGGGTAATATCATAGCAGATGTATTGGCAAAAGAAGCATTATCAAGCGGAGAAACCATAGTCAACAATATTCTACCGGTGTTAGATATAGATGTATATAGTAAACAACGGCTTAAATTAAAATGGCAAGCCAATTATGCGGAATCCGAAAGACAGTCATCATTTAAATATTGGCAACCCACACTTCTTAAAAAAAGGTGGTTTTATTCAGAGTCCAACAGAAGTTTTATTAAAACTAATAATAGGCTAAGGTCAAATCATGCTCTAACACCTTCAAGAATGTACAAAATGGATCTAGCAGACACTCCAAACTGTACTTGTGGTAAATATGGAGATTTAACACATATCCTATTAGAATGTGGAAACCAACAAGGGAATATTACATGTTTTTATGAAAACTTACGAAAACTAAATGTGTGTTTCCCATTTCACATAAATGAATTAATTTTCTCTGGAAACTTAGAAATTTATAATTGTATTTATCAGTTAATAAGAAATTGTAAATATAAACTTTAAACAATATAATGTACTAACCCTAGAATTAAGATAAAATTTGTAAGCAATTTGCGAACATATCAATCATGTAATAAACCTTTTAATACGAAAAAATGAAAAAAAAAAAAAATGGAAAAAAAAGAGACAAAAAAAACAAATAAATAAAAAAATAGGCCAAACCAAATTAATATAAAAAAAGACCAAAACAAAATAAAAAATATATATACATATTATATACAATATCAAAAAAGTAATACACGGAAATAAAAAAATCAAATAAAAAAAATATAAAAAAAAATCACAAACAAACAAAAAAAGAAAAATCAAAACAACTCAATTATTTAATTTATTTTTAACTTACATTTAGTACTAACTCGAACTCTGATTGTTGTTCTGTGAATACAAATTACAAAACAGTCTGGTCAATTGGCTATGCCAAGGCCATTAAAAAAGAAAAAAAAGGTCCGGAAAAAGTTTTGATGTAAACCTCAGCTGCTTTCACATCCGAACTTGCTGCCTCACCATACCTGACAACCGAGTGAAGTTGTCAAACCAGCCTCGACTGGCTTTAAACGAGTGTTCCGATTCATCATTTGTGGAAGTGTGTGGGATCTGCTTCAGCAAATCTTCGTAAATCGCTCGTGATTTCTCACATATGATGCTTTGTGTTAAGGTTCCTCCTTGTAACGCCCTTAGTACGTTCCTCCTTGTAACGCCCCATTATACCATTTATCACCTCCTTCCTCTTAAGTACAGTACATATACATATACACATACAGTACATTGATGTGGTACGCCCGTACATCCTCGCGAAGTCAGTTACTCATACACCTTGCTCACGTTTTTCAATGATTTTACGTTTAAGTTCAATAGACATCATCTTCTTCTTCGAATCTATGGTTGTAAAAACCAATGTAATATTATAATGTACAAAAAGCACAAAACGCGAACCCGACTTATTAACAATACTTCGAAAATGAGGAAAACAAGCAAAGCAGACACACTGAGGTCCATAGAAAAAATTTACACAGTGTAAATTACACCGACATCGAGAGTGCAATGTGGTTAGTAATAGAATCCGAATTTTTTTCGGATTTAGCTTCCAATGACCATTTAGGTGGAAGTAATAGTCACGTACAGATCCGTAAAATGATCTTTATGGCGAGGCTGTAAAGATCTATTACCAGTAAAACTACCTTTTATTTACAAAGAAAATTCTTCTTCTTCTTCGTCTAGCCATTTACGTCCACATCTAAACATAAGGCTCTTTAAGTCTTCCTTTCCATTGTTTTTTATTGTACGCTACTTGTAGCCAATTTTTCCCGGCAGTCCTTTTCAGATCATCTATCCATCTCATAGGAGGTCTGCCTCTGGGTCTTTTGTGTTTTTATGGTCTCCAGGTTAAAATTGATCTGTGCCATTTGTTTAGATCGCTCCTAGCTAAATGTCCAGCGTATTCCCATTTCAATTTTAATGATTTTTGCACCACATCGGTGACTTTGGTTTTCTGTCTTATCCATGTGTTTGTTTTCTTGTCCTTACGTGATATACCTAGCATTGCTCTTTCCATTGCGTGTTGAGTGACTCTAAGTATATTCATATTCTTTTTTGTGATTGTCCATGTTTGTGCCACATAAGTTAATATCGGAATAATGCATGCATCAAAAACTTTAGATCTAAGATGTAATTGAATTTGTTGATTTCTGAGTATATAGTTCAGTTTACCGAATGCTGCCCAAGCTAACTTTCTTCTTCTTTTTATTTGGTCAGTTTGAATTTCCCTATTTAGGATTATTTTTTGTCTTAAGTATATATATTCTTCAACTTTTTCTATAACTTTATCGTTTATTATTGTCACGGTGTCTTCGGAATGCATGACTTTTGTTTTACTTAAATTCATTTTCAGACCTATTTTAGAAGATTCGGTATGTAGTTCTAAAAGCATGGTTTGCATTTCTTGTAGGTCAGTAGCTATCAGGATTATGTCATCTGCAAATCGTAGATTACTGAGGTAGCGGCCATTGATGTTTATTCCCTTATATTTCCAATTTAGGTTTTTAAAAACGTCATCCAAAACTAAGGTGAACAGTTTGGGTGATAAAGTATCTCCCTCTTTGACTCCCCTGTTTAATGGTACAGGGTTCATGTGTTCATTTTCATTTAGGTAGTATGTAGCTGTAGCTTGGTTCATAGTTTCTTTTATTAAGTCAATATATCTGCTGTCTATTCTACAATTTTGCATTGCGTTTATTACGGCCGTGTGTTCTATGGTATCGAAAGCTTTTTGTAGCCTATAAATGCTAGGAAAACTGGAAACTTGTATTCGTTACATTTTTCTATTAATATTTTTGTGGTTAACAGGTGATCGGAAGTTGAATAGCTTTTCTAAAACCTGCCTGTTCATATGGTTGGTAGTCGTCTAATTTCCTTGTTAGTCGAGTAGTTATGACTTTGGTGAGTATTTTAAACAGGTGTGACAGTAGGCTGATGGGTCTGTAGTTTTCCAATTTGCGACTATCATCTTTCTTGTGTAATAAGATTACTTTAAAGTTGTTCCAGCTCTTAGGGAATTTGCCCTGATGTAAAAAACTGTCCACAAGCTTAGTTACAATTGCAATTAGTTCCTTAGAGCTCGGTTCGCGGCTCGTATCTCAACGCAATCGTATATTAGGGCGCTCGTATATCGAAATACCACAGTATATAGGAAAGGGAGTACGGGCGTAAATTTAAATACAATATGTAGTTCACTGTAATAGTGGAGGCTATCGGTCAAAAGTTTGAGAAGAAAATAAAAGATACCTTCTACTTCATCTTTTACTGAAGAAGTTTTGTATATGAATCCATACACATTATCAGTTTATCTAAAATTAGTTAAATAAGCATATATCCAAAGAGAAAATTACTAAAGATTTACCTTACAAAGATTTGCAGCTTTAAAAAAATGGAATTTAAGCCAAAGTTTAACTTATGAACCATAAAAATTAAACGTTCAGTTTTTATAAGAAAAAATAGAACTAAGTCAGATTTTTATATGTAAACTATGCAATGAAAAGAAGTATAAAAAATTAAGTATACGAACAGAATACTGTCCAACATGAAAGAGAAACAGAATTCCCAAAGCACTGATACTGTTTATTTAATTTGAACAAATTCATGTTGTGTATCACATTCCTTAGGCTGAATATAGTTGTTACATAGGGAAGACTGGGCGGTCACTCAGGGGTAGATTAAACTCACACCGTAGTGATATTAATGTATCAAAACTTTCTTGCGCTTTAGCACAACATGCTATTTCATCAAAATACAAGGTCAATTTTTAAGCGGTTCAAATTCTTTGTAATGAAAAGAATTACACTAAAAGACAGTTTTTGTTGCTACTACAGATACTACCTCAAGTTAAATATAACATTTATTAAGGTTTTATCAATAAATAGTATCAGTGCTTTTCGAATTCAGTTTGTCCTCTATGTTGTCCAAACAAAAAATAATAATTTTCTTACAGCGCCATTTTGGTCGAAGTTTTGTATGTTTCCACCTTTCGTCAAACTTTCCAGGATTGCTTTATTTTTTGTAGGTCATCCGATGACAGATGCTCTCGTCGTTTTCGACTTTCCAAATGCAGTCCGTGGACTGTGTATAAGTCGCTTTCATATTGGCCAGCAACTAACTCCTAAAAAAAATGTATTAAAAGATTGGATAGAGAACATCTTGCACATCTTTAAAGGCTTGAGATTGCGCATTGACACGATTAGCACACAGAACATTTACTATCTCTCATAGATATTTTTCAACATATACATTGGAAATTTGATATACCTTTCTATCTTCTCTAAAAATCCAACCAGATTGAGCTCTAGCAAACGATATGCTCTTCGTTGAGATTTGTGCTGCCATAATATCTGTTGACATTAACAGATCTACTTCATCTTCTATTTCCAACTCGCTTTCCTATGAAATAAAAAGAAAAATCAATTTTAATACCTATTTATAACTAATAATAATATAAATCATAATATGGACAACAACTTCCACTAGAAACTACCTAGATCACATGCTAAAAACTATAGAAATTGTCGAATGACATTAATATGCATTTATTATTTGCTCGCAAAAGCGAGCACACTATGGGATACTCAGATGATAATGGTAAATGCGAATGGTGCGAATTAGAAATGCAAAGACTGCAAAATCAGTAGGTCCAGATCAAATACCCTAATTAAATGCATTGACAAAGAAACACTGCATATACTTTTAGATCTGTTCAACAAAAGTATATACAAGAGTAATATCCGAGGATTGGTTGCTGTCCACGTTTGTAACACTACTAAAGTCAGTAGATGCGACAGAATGCTTCCAGTACAGAACAATTTCCTTAACAAGTCACACACTTAAGATATTTCCAAAATAATACGTGGAAGACTATACAAAAAAATCGAAGAAGATATAGATGACACCCAGTTTGGATTCAGAGGAGGACTAGGAACATTCGCTTTTAACGTTCTCGCGCAAATACGACTATTTATGCATTAAAGTACTTCCCCCTTTTAAATTTAATGTTTGTTTTGTCCCTTCTAAGTGATTTCTGTTTTAGTGTGTTTTAAATTGTCCTTAATTGTTTTAATTCTAATATTTTATTTACTTGACTTTACAATAGTCTACTATTTTGCCAATACAACTTTATCAAAGAGATTTGATAACTACAAGTTGGAAAATAATTGCACACCCACACAATTTGTACATCTAAACTTATTCATTGTCATAAAACTGTCACCTTCATAAAACAATTACTCAATAAAAAACACACATTTCATAAATATATCTCTCGAATAAGTATAAATAACTTTTAATAATACAATAGTATATTACATCACTTTCATTTAACAAACATTCATACATATATCTCTGCTTCATTGGATCAAATCTATCTCCTCAAGAACTTCCCGTTTACTGTCATACAACTGCAATAGCAGAATTGAGTTCTCCATTCAACAATACATAGTAGTTTCAACCATGTTCTACCATCCATCAATTAATAGAGTACCGGCATGTAAGTAATGTTTATTTATTTGCTCATTTATTAATTTATTACAATCTAATAGACTATTTTATGACAATTTGTGGGCCTTACCTTGTCTGTTTAAACTTTTAAAACTTTTATACCTTTTTATTCAACTTACTCTTTTTGAAATAAAACCACAGACATGTAATATTGGCATAATTATTGTAATTTCCAATATCTACTTTGTTTATCTTTATTAGACAACACCCTAATATGGGTTTTTATCATTTCAGCATTTATTTAACTTTGTATCGAGACCTGAAGATGCTTTGCATATTGTAGAAAGCGAAACCGGTCGTCTGATAGTTAAATTAAATTGATTGTGAGTAAGTCTTATTTATTATTTCTTTACCTACTTAGTAAATAGATTACATCAAGTCAGTATAAAATATGGACTACAAATGAAGGTTAAGAAAACCAAGTGAATGATTATTTCTAAGCAACATACAGTAGGAAGGCTAGATATCGAGGGAAAACAAGTGGAAAGAGTGAATAACTACAAATATCTGGGAACCTGGGTAAATGAAAACAATGACCAAGGTAGAGAAATAAGGACACGCATTGAAATTGCAAGACAAGCATTTATAAAAAAGAGAACAATGTTTGTTAATCAAGACCTTCCTCTAGAGCTGAGGGTAAGAGCCTTATGATGCTACATGTTCTCGACTTTGTTGTATGGAATGGAAAGGTGTTCATCCAAATACATGGATGCCTTGCATGGATGACTAAAAATACCACATTTTTAGTGGCTGGGGGTTTAATAGCAAAGACAGGAACACTCAACTCACAGTAACTCCAAATCAAACAAAGAAAAAAAGAAAAGATCAGTAGGCAGGTTCTTTAAACAGACCAAATTACTACAAAATGTAGGAGACCATTTAATTATTAAAGAAAGCGGAAGAAAACGGTGTTAGATGTTCTACAAAAACTAGAACGTGGTAAAAAGTGCATTTAAATAAAAAACATTTAATTGACACATTTGGCACTAACTGAGAAAATCTATAGGTCGAAAAATTTTAATTACTAAAATTCATATTGAATCTTAATCTTACAGTATTTTTACAATCAACCTTTTATTTTAATAAACTATTATTTAGTTGGAAATACTAACAATGGAAAAACCAGAAATGTATTTTATAAACAATGATCAATTTACGATTTTTTTTAAAGATAAATTATTATTTACTATGACTAAAATAGTTTTTACTGTCATACGGAACATCCTAATCACTAATCAGTTAATCAATATGTATTATCTTTAAACAATAATTTGTTCTAAATAACAATAGAAAATAAAATTTAAAATAATAATTCTTATTCCAAATCTAACTCAATTAATTCTCTATATGTTCAATTGCTAGAATTGATGTAATATTTGGTTTAATAATTAATTTTTTTCTCAATCTCAAAAGTATCTGTTTATTTTTTTTATCACCTTCTAATAATATTTTGTAATGTTATATAACAATATTTTACGCCAATTTAAGCATTCATTTCAAGCTAATTAATAGCCTTACATAAATGTGATAATGTATGATCAAATTTGCGCAAACCATAAACAAGGCTAATACCTATATACTATATTATTTATCTATGGCTAATACACCCATTCTGAACTTTCTGTATACGATTTCTACTGTCACTGTCTAAACAAATACCATAAACAAAATTAAAGTAATTAAAATTAAATACCGAGAGCTTCACATACATTTTTTCTTAACATTTTGTTTAAGATATGTGTTTTATAATATATTTTCAAAAAACAAAATGATTTTTAAACTAATTTTTTCACATATTCTTGAAATCTAAGCTGGTCCTCTCGAGTTTTTGGTTTTGACAAGGAGATTGCTCCATGCTCTTCCATTTGATCATGGATGAAATCATCAAAAGCGTTAACAAAGGAAGAGGATACAGAATGAGAAACAAAGAAATAAAAATACTCCGTTACGAAGATGACACAATATTGATTGAAGAGGAAGATAGTCTATAAAGACTGGTCCACAGATTTAACATAAGAGCAAAAGAATTTAATATAAAAATCTCATCTCAGGAAACTAACACAATAGTGTAACGATATATTTTCCTACCACATGGGGTATTAATATAAGGGGTAGAAAATTGGGGACAGAAACTACTGGGGGTGGAGATAGGGCAAGCAAAATAATCGAAACATATGCAAACGGCACTCAGGGTTTGTTAGGAGAGCTGGGGTCGTGGATAAGTAAATGGCAAAACACAACTACACAGCTGGGACAAAGGGCAAAACTCAACTACACTCATCAGCTCGAACCAAAGGCACTTTAACAATACACACATCTACTTAAAATGGCCGAACAAACAAAATTACAAAAAACGATTATTCTGTAAAGGATGTCAAATCAATTAAAAATAAATGCAACAGTAACAGTATTATTTGTTACTATTATTAACTTTTAAAATTCTTTTCAATATCAAAACATTATTTAAAATTCATATTTAAATATTCAATATCAAAATATTTGCTTTCATTTACCAATACACATAAAATACATATTAAATGTACTGTAGAAACATTTGTATAAATAAATACCTTGTTACTAAATTGTTAATTTCAACAATTGCTTTCATAAAAGTCAAAGAAAAAAAATGTTTTGAAACTACTTAAAATACTTGGACTACTTTTTGCATTGAAACACCCTGATCTATTGTGATTATAATTATGAACTGTTGGTTACAGATCTCTCTTTTCCCATATCTATATAAACAGAATCTTTTCACATTTATGACGTTTAGCTTGTTCAAGAGAAGTAGATTCTGAAGTTAAAGTATTATTTTCACTACCCTGTATTGATGATGGTAGAGTTTCTTCATTATTATTTTCCTCTCCAGATTCATTGCAGTTACGAGCCATTTCACTAAGCATTTGTTTTTATTAGAGTCATCATTGTTCAAGAATGTATATACCTAACCTAATCTAAATTTAAGAAGTAGAGGTGTGCTTATTAGTTCTTTTAGACGAACTAGTTCAACAGAACTATTTCACAAAAATGAACTAGTTCGGTGAATAGTTCGCGAAAGAACTATTTGTAGGACTGATATCAAAATCCAACCCTAACAGAACTGGTTGCCAGATGTCTCGTCTCAATCATCGTCAAACGGGCGCCAGCCGCCCGTTTTGTTTCAGTCTTTCACTAATTCACTACCATACAAGTAGTTCGGAACTATTTCTTTCGATCGTATGTTTAGGTTTAAATTATTATATGATTAGTTAGTTTTTATTTGCAAAGAATTATTAAGATTTGTTTTTTATTAAATGTTTTAAATATAAATATGGTTCAAGTATGATTTATTTTTATATTTACTTATATTTAAACTCATAGGTATTTGTAATTAGGATATTTCTAAAAGAACCTTTACAAAAAAAAATCAGTGAATTTTCTAGGAACATTAAATAACACATTTTCATTCTCACTTTTACATAAAATTATATTTTATGTAAATGCCTTAATCACTTTAACCACAACTAAAATTTTTATTTCAAATTTACAATACAAGAAACAACACAGCATGGCAACATCCAAGCCAATACATGGGCATAAGATCCAAACCATTATGACATTAAGATAAGACCTTATGGTATTGTCACATTCATAAGAATTATGAATCTGTTATCTGAGGCTAATCAGCATTTTTTTTAAACTAGTTAGTCCATCCATTCACAAAATAATAAATATATGTTCTAATTTATTCATTCAGTATTTTCTTCTTTAGAAGTTGAGACATAATTTATAATGCAAATCATTCGACATGAACTAGTTCTATGAAAATTAATGAACTAGTTCAATTAGTTCAGTTGAAAGAATTGTTCATTAGAACTATTTCGATGGTGAACTACACATCCCTATTAAGAAGTACTCACTTATTTTTGTAAAAAAAGTACACTACTAGTACATAATTATGTACAAAACTATAATCATAAAAGAAATAGACCTTCTGCGCAAACCAGAGGAGGGATGCAGAATTCATTTGTGGCTTAAAAGAAATAATCTTAACATTATCAAGTCTGCAGTTTCGGCCTTCTTTGAATATTCATAAAATATTAATGTCATAGAAGGTTTTTCAAATGGTCAAGTATTATAAATTCTTTATATTACGTAAATTTATATTACGTTTAATTACGAAATTGAAATATTGTTCTGAAGCTATTTTCTTGTGGCATTGTAAATTAATTGCTATTTAACTGGGAATAAGCCACAATTAACGATAAAAATAAGTTTATTGACGTTTCAATTTCCACTTCAAAAAATTAAAATGAAACGTCAATAAACATATTTTTATCTTTAATCTTTAATTGTGGCTTATTCCCAGTTAAATAGAAATTGAAATGTTAATAAACATACTTTAACCTTTAATTATGGCTTATTCCCATTTAAATAGTAATTAATTTAAAATGCCACAAGAAAATAGCTTAAGAACAATTTTAAAAAAGACAGTTTCAAATCAATGGCATCAAAATTTTATTAAGTGTGGATGTTTTTTGTATATGGTTTTAAGCTGAAGGCCAGAGTTTAAGTTTAAGTAGTCACCCTCTTCTGGAGTGTTTTGAAGTATAATAACAGTGACCAAATAGCTCATTTGAAGTACTGTATAGTATAGTGATTGAACACTTACCTCATGCCTTACTTTTTGATATACTTTAGATACATTATCTAATACAGTCAGGCTCTCATTTGGTTTAGCATGTCCATTAAAAATAAATGATATATCTCCTCTTTCCCATCTCATATCAGAAAAGTCTACTAAGGTTGTATCTAATCTAATATTTGCCCCACTTTTATATATTTTGCATATATCAGAAGGCAAGATTCTAGAAACTAAAGGTACTGAAAAATAAAATATAAATAAGACAATAAGCTATACAGTAGCAGCACACTATAGTAATACTAACCCCAGGAATGGAAGTCCCATTTTAACTCCATGTAGAAGTCATCTATTTTACTTAAAGCTTTTACTAAATTCGGTCTTCTTTCTTCCATTTGTTCCCTAGATTGCTGCCTAAATTTTCTAACCAAAGAAGAAACTACAAAATGAAGTTAAACATTGGGTTAGTCATCCAAATTTTACAGTATAAAACAGTTACAATTTTAAAAATAATTACTTGTGGGTCGATTTCCATAGCTCACAGCTTCCGCCAAAACGGTCCAACCTAAACCATTTTTAACTTTTACAGGAGCGTCATGTTTTAAAAGCAGCTGAACACATTCTAAAATAATAACCCAATTAGTGTCTCATTAGCACTATTTAATAACTTGTAAAGTCGATTAAAAATATGAGTTAAGTGCAAAATTTTAATATTAAAAAGATCAACAAACCTTTCCTTCCTAGCATAACAGCCAGGTGTAGGGCAGTATTACCTAAAAAAAGATAAATAATCAAATTTATTGATAATAATAACCTCAAAATTTTTGTTTAGATTCGTAATTTGAGCTGATATTCGAGAATAAATTGTCTTACCGTGTTTATCCTTTGAGGCCACATCGTGTTTTCTTATTAAACGAGAGAGACTAGGTAAATCATTTTCGAATACTGCTTTATGAAGCGGAAAACCATCACTTTCATCCGCCATCACAATGTCACAACTGGAAAATGAAGTGGGTTGATGAAAAATTACCTGTCGATAAACGTCAAAACAAAATGACAATATCTGAATCTTCTTTTTTTACGTAAAACAGAATCTTGTTGGTCTTTTGCTACTTAGATGATAAACTAAAAAAGCAGATCTACGATTTACCATTTCCATCGAATCTATAATAATAATACTTCCAACATGTATCAGAGTCTCGTATGGAAGCATTATATAAGGATACGAGATTGGATAGGAAAGTATATAGAAAGAAATAGCTGACGAATGTCACAAATGCGACTACAATCTTAATGATACAGAATGGACAAAAGTAGGTCTACGACGATCAGTGAACAAATCAGTTAACTTAGGAGCACATCCTGTATCATTTATGGTTCTATTTTGGCCTTATATAAAGCTCGAACTGACTATCTATTATATGACAAACATTATATATATATATATATGGATTTCAGATTCATATTATTCTCGGAACAGTTGACGCATCATCGACTACTAGTCTTATCTAATGTAGGTGTTATATAAAGGGACTAACAAATCTTCATCATTGTTTTTTAAAGAAACAAGACTACTTTTTATGTTTAACTTGTAGTTACTGTTCCAGTTATTTTAAAACCAGGTTGATTTATGGAGTACCAGTTGCTTTCCACCCAGCTTTCTTTTTTGTTTCTTCCAGAAGTGTTCGTGTAGGTACAATAAGGGTAATTTTCTTGTTTCAGAAGTAACTCGTGATTTAGGAGTGACTGTACCAAGTTTCAGTATTTGCACTGGGATAAATTCACAGCTCTCTGAGTTGTCAGGCTATTAGAGGGAGATATGTTTGATGTGATAGAGTCCGGGATAAATTCAGTGTTCTGGTAACTACTTGATCAAGAATAACTGAGCTTTGTTGTTATTTATAAGTGTTATACCATCCCTAAATTTCCTCCCCAGACTCCAGGCCTTTCTACTAGAATGATGAAGTTTAAATATTCAGTTGTATGCGTCCATTTTTGTTTCCTGTTTTCCTTGTTATCATCGATCTACTCTGGTAGATATTTTTTTCTACAGCTCCTTGGAATTGCTTTTTTTTCACCTTAAATAATGGCATTTCTAAAGCGATCCCAGTTGCCGATTTCTGGTACAATCCACTTTATGTACTTTCTAAGCATGCAGTATATGTATTCCAGTTACGTTCATCAAAAAGCTCCATTGAGATCTTGGCACAGATATAATTGATATTTTGAGACCCACTTTCAGGAAGATCGGTGTTGTGAGTGAGGAATCTTGTTATATACTTGTCTTGATCAAATACTGGCTGGAGGCTGATGAGTTGAGCCATGGACGTATAGAGTTGAGCACAGTCATATAAGTTTCCATACAATGACAGGAGATTTTTTGTTTTATTACATTTGTTTTCAAGATGGCGGTGTGGTCATCTATTTACCACAAATTTAGGCCTCTTGAAAGGTTTAAATATTAAGGTAAAGGAGTGAAAAAAGAAATGAAACAACTGTGTAGTAGTAGAAATATAGGATCTTATTACATTAAATAATTAACGTGTAGTTAGAATGTACAGCAGTATGTAACAAATAACAATGTATATACAATTTCAAAAAAGCTACTCTATAAAGTAAAGCTCTTCAATCTTATTACTAATTTTAGTACAATTGCATTCTTCCATTAGTTATGTAACGAATATGAACAAAATCAAAAGTATAAATACAGTTTGTGGTATGTGAAATGAACAAAATCTGCTGATATAAACTAGGAAGACAGAGAAAAAGCTTAATGTTTGCAAAATCTACGTTTCCACTCGGAAACTGAGTATTTCAAAAAACATATATAATAATGGACTGAAGGAAAATCACCATAAAGACACTAAAAAACAGGAATAGGTCGCTTAAGATTTTGAACGACATAAATACTTTTAGTTAAATGTGATATATTATACGAAGAACAAGTAGCGATGTAATAAACTTTTTTTTATATTGCTGCCTAGGATATGAATTTCCGAACCTTCTACGAAGAATCATTAACGGCCTCGAAATTTGGAGATAGGTATATTTTTTACTAGAAGTTCCTCAAATGATCTTGTGTGTCTATGAAATTTAAATGCTGTTATATTGGTGTCAGAAGTGGGATTATTCGTTTAAAACTAAAAATAGTGATGGAATTTTTAATACGGCATTGGGCAAATGTATTCGGGACTGCAAAACATTTACCAACAACCATGTTTAGTACGTGAGTTACTCGCTTTTCGTTATGAACTATTAACGACTTTGAAAAGGCAATTTCTAAGATGCGTGTGTGATCGGTTGACGATGCTACCAAAACAGTTTAGCGTAAAGCAGTTAACGGGAAGCTAGCGTAAAGTAATTGTGGGAAAAACTATTGTGAATCAGTTAAGCGAGAAGCTAGCGGAACGAGGCGAACATTTCAGTGGTTACAAGAAGGTCCTTCAAGAACGATTGAAGTGGCTCCTGGTAACCAATAGATAAAAAGAGGGTTATAAATTGTACAATGTAGTTAGTCCAAAGTTATTTTACAAAAATGGACTGAGGCCCAAGCAATCCCCAACCAGCAGGCTTCTACAGTAACAGATATACTAATTAAAGAATCTTCATCCGTTTTGGTGTTGCCTCAGAAATTCTTAGATAACATGAATCAAACAATAAGCAAATACATTTCCAAAAACTTTATCAGAACATAGGTAGTAAGGCCATGCTTGTTGCATGTTTGCTCAAAAAAACCTTCGGAGGCAGGCTAAGAATCGGTCAGGATGAACGATATCCACGAAGTTGCCCGCCAATGAGATGAAAGATAAATATAATTCTTGATCTACGAATGGAAAATCTTATATATAATATAAAACAACATCAAGACCATTCTCATAACTTTCAAATTTAATGGGAAGGTTGATTATGAAATTAAAAACAATAAATGATGTGATATACTGAATTAAGGGACTGTCAAAATAAAAATTGTTCACATAAATCGTCTTGCATCATATGCTGACTCAAAAATACTGACGAAGAAAACCAGATTTGGTGTGACAGAAGTAGAAAAAGGTCTACATGATGTATCCATAGGTAATTCTGTCGCCCATAACCGTATTATGACCAAAGGAATCTCCTAAGTATTTAACAGAAAGTTCGTTTGCTTTGACGAGTTGAAAAATCACCAGCCTACTGTTGGTAAAGTATTTTGTTTAGAAGACGTAATCGATTGTTGATCAAGAGATCTTGTTATGAAAGGATCATTCTTTGAAATGATTTTAAGAAGTAGTTGTACATGCAAATAAAACTTGTAAATAAACAATGAATATAAATCGAACTGTTGAATTGTTAATTCCGTTATATTGTGGAAAGAGCATAACATATGGATATGTAATTTTTAAGAATATGTATAATACTTTTAACCGCCTTAAATACCGCTGTTACATTCTTGTAAAGAATGGATTAAAAGAGAAAGAAAGAGACTAATACGAGAAAATTAAATGGTCCGTAAATAGTATAATTCTATTTAATTAGAAGAATGGAGTGAAAATAATATAAGTCCATGGAAAAAAGAAGAAAAAATAACTCATAAATCCAATATTAGATTAAAATACGGTGTGAAGATATAGAACGTGATGGATGAGAAGTTTTAAATAATATTTGTAGAACGCCTTGTAATGAAAGAACAAAATACAATTCTTTAGGAGAATATTTTGTAATGAATTCGATTTTTGAACAATTGTACAGTTACGTATGTGTGATAATTTCACAGCTGTAGTTCATTTCGCATATCACGTCAAGTGTGGTCTCCACGGCTGAGTAAATGTGATCAAAATGACCACTTTAGAATCCACAATAATGGTTTTATACTTTTGAATTTCTCCGTATTGGTTTAAGTAGAATAATTCGATTAAAAATACATTTTTAAAGGATAAAGAAATAGTACGTCCTTTAGAGTCAACACTATTTAAATTTAGAATATATTTAAAATCACAATATAATGTATAAATAAAAATACGTATAGATAAAATGTGGGATACGAGTATTAATACCAAATTATGTATCAAATGTGACTAGATGTGCGAAATTTTGCAGGGAGGAATCTTTAATAAATTATCAATATTGGATTTGAGTACATAATTACTAGCCTAAAATTTATTGCACAACAAAAAAACACTTTTAAGGACAAATTTATAGATTTACTAATTGTCTAAACATGTCTAAATTTGGACCATGCTCCAAGTGAATGAAGGCTATAGGTTTAATTAAGTAGGACGTATTGCTGATTAATTCATCAATATTAAAATAATAAATAATTAAATATAAAAAGGTAAAAAAGAAATTTTTAGACTTATTCACAATCAATTTAATTTTACTACCTCAGACGACCGGTTTCGCTTTCTAAAATTTGCAAAGCATCATCAGGTCGGTGATACAAAGTAAATTAAATGCTGAAATTATAAAAAGCTCATGGGCATTTAATTTCAGCATTTAATTTACTTTGTACCACCGACCTGATGATGCTTTGCAAATTTTAGAAAGCGAAACCGGTCGTCTGGGGTAGTAAAATTAAATTGATTGTGAGTAAGTCTAATTATTTCTTTTTTACCTTTTTAAAATGGACTCACATAAGCAACACATTCATGATTTTAATTAAATATACTATATAAATGTAATTGAAAATAAGAAAATACTTGGCGTAACTCATAAATGTTATCAATTCGTGAAAAACTCACTTACCATTGTCGAAATGTGTTAATTGGCAGGCTAGAAAGTTAGCGTCTCGTCAACTACTGCTGTGCCCGGTTTGTCTGTGTGTAGGGATAAAAACCGGTACATAAAAATATCCTCCGAGGTGGTCTCTCGAGGATAGTTAAAGAAAGCCTACCCTAATAAATTCAGTGATACCAACTTGCGTATACAATTCCGCAGAAATCTGATATTTTAAAAGCTTTTGTGCTTTCGAGGTTAAGGCTGTTTTCGCAGTTAAAGCACACTGCGACTTGAAGTAGGCGTA